ATCTCTGTGAGTCTGAGGCCAGCCTGGTCTACAGGACAGCCAGGGCTCTTACACAGGGAAACCCTGTCTCAAAAAAACTCGGGGGGGGGGGGTTGGGAGGGAAGGTAGTTTAATGTAGATGAGACAGCCAATTAATAAAAACACAACTATGCCTGGGCTCCCCCCCCCAAAAAAAACAATTCTTCAGAGTAAGCCCTTGGACACTTGCAGCTACTATGTTAAGAACCAAGGATATAACCAGGCAATGGTGGTATATGCCTTTAATCCCAACACTTGGGAGACAGAGGCAGGCGGATCTCCAAGTTCAAGGCCAGCTTGGTGTATAGAATGAGTTCTAGGACAGCTAACAGTACACAAAGAAACCCTGTCTTGAAGAAAAAAAAAAAACAAAAAAACAAAAAAACAAAAAGAACCACTGACATGAGGCATGTCAGCCATGATTTAGAATACAGAAGGCTAACAACACACTGAGAGGTACAAAAACAATAAAAGATTAAGAAGGGACAGCAAGATGACTGCCTTTATGGGGAGGGGGAGTTAAAAATATGAAGGAATAGGAAAATGGCTTGAGCAGGTAGGCCAGTAAAAAGCCAGGTGTGAGCCTGTAGCCTAAGCACTATGGAGGCTGATAGGGTTACTGCTGGAGCTCAATGGTTACTAGCTTAGTCAAAAAACTAACCTCCACATTCAGTGGGAGATCCTGTCTTGAAGGGCTAAGGTAAAGGGCAGAAGTCCCAGGTGTCTTCCTCTGGCCTCTGGCAGGTAATGCACGAGTACAGGGACTTCCTGAATTCCATTTCTGAAATCCAAGGAAGAGAGAAGTGACTCCATAAAACTGTCCTCTGACCCACACACACTGTGGAATTCATCACACATATACCACACAAAGAATATATTTTAAAAAATACCTGGAGAGGGGCTGATAAAGGCACTTGCTGATAAGACTCATGACCTGAGTTCAATATAAGGAACCCAATGGCGGAAAAGAATCGAATTCCACCCCTATGGCACGTGTACACACACACAATATGAATGAATAAAATTTAAAAAGCTGGGAGGCAGTAGCAACACATTTAATCCCAGCACTTAGGAGGCACAGGCAGGCAGAACTCCCTAATCTCAAGGCCAGTTTGGTCTACACAGCAAGTTCCAGGAAAGCCAAACAAAACAAACAAAAATGATTAGCCAGCCATCATGGCACTGGTCTTTAAATCCCAGCATTCCATAGAAAGAAGCAGGAAAATCTCTGTGAATTCAAACGCAGCCCAATCTGCATAGTTTCATGGCACCCAGAGCCACATAGGGACAGCCTCCTGTCTCAAAACAGAAACACAATGACAAGAAATGCTGCTGTGGATATGGGGAAAACAATATTTATTCACTGCTAGAGAGAATGTAGACTGGTACACCCATCATAGAAATCAGGATGGGGTTTCTCAAACTAGAACTAGACCTACTATGTGACCCAGGTATACCACCTCAGGTACTGACCCAAAGGTCTCCACATCCTACTGCAGATACCTGCTCACTGTTTACTGCCTCTCTAGCACAACAGCCAAGAGATGGAAGCAAACCAGATGTCCATCAAATATGACATATTTACACACAACAGAGCACTACTTAGCTATTAAGAAAAATGAAATTATAAAATTCACAGGTAAATGGAGAGAGCTAGAAACAATCATTCGGCATATAGTAACTCAGAACCAAAAAGTCAAATGTCACATTTTCGTCTTATCTGTGGATGTTAGCTGCAGATATGTGTGTTTCATTTGGAATATTCCTAGCACTCAGGAGGCAGAGGCAGACGAATCTCCGAGAGTTGAGTTCAAGGACAGTTAAGGCTGTTTGTTACACAAAGAAAGCTTGCCTTGAAAAACAAAAGAATCAAGCAACAAAAAACAAACACACAGACACACACTCCACACAAACCAGGGTCTAATTATCTAGACCAAGCTGGCATTGAGAGCAGGCTGCGCCCACCTCCAGGTGGCCGGGATTAAGGCCTGCACCACCACTAACCAGCCTCCCTAAAGCAATCTTAGCTTCCATGGCTCTCTCCTGTTTTAGGAATTCTTGTCACCACAGCAACTTGTTTTTAGATTTACTTACACAGCTATCAGTTTATTTGGTTATCAGTTTCCATCTAATTTCTTCCTTTTGAATTATATATTGTTTCTGAAGTACATCCTCACTTTTTTTAAAAGCACTGGTCTTTTGTAAATTCTTTCAGTTTATCCTTTTTCTTCCTTAACCTCAACGCTAGCCCATCTTTTTGCCTCAAATTCCCACAGAACTAGGACTACAAGTGTGACCTACGTCTGCCATTAATCCTGGTTGTCTTTTCTTTTTTCAATCAATTTTAAAAGTTCTTTAGGAGCTGCCTCTCCGTGCCCATGCTCACCACCTCCCGTAAAACCAAAGAAAATGCTAGGGAAGTACTCTACCCTGCAGTAACATTCCTAGACCAGACTTCTTTCTATCTTCTCAAAGGACGCTACCTGTGAATTCTCAGTTCGTGTGTTGTCAATTCCTCATGTTCTCTATTGCCCAGTTAACCGCTTCTGATACATCCTCCCATTCCGTGATTTTTCTCCTACTTTACCTAAATCTCATATTAACCCCACATTGGGAAACTATGCTTTTTTATGGCTGTTCCAGAAATATTTTAAAGGCTGGCGGGGATAAGAGTGAGGGCTGGAGCGTCAGCTCTGCAGTTAAGAGCACTTACTATTATTGCAGGGGACCTCAGTTCGGTTTCCAGCACCGCCAGTAAGTAATTCCATCCTCTAGAAATCCGACTTTGACCTCTTCGGGCACCCCGCACTCGCGTCGTACAGACACATAAAAACTTTAAAAAGCCTGGGTGCTCCTCTCCTTCCCGCCCCAACTCCGCCCCAACTCCGCTACTACCTTTGCTCAGTAATGCTAAGTTCAGTGAAGAGGCAGTGTCCAAGAGCTAGAGGCCATGACCGACTGGCTTTCCCCTCAGTCTGAGCCGCAGAGACAAGCCCGCCAGCCGTGACGTCACAAAACCGTGACGCGCCAGGAGCTCCGCCCCCTAGCGACCTGCGCAGGGAACCCGGGCTGCCTGCGCCGTGGCGTCACAGGTCCGGGCAGGCGGGTTTTCCGTCGGCCCAATGGGAGCGGCGCGCCGGCCTCCCCTTTAAGGAATGTTGTGACCTGACGTCACCCAGGCGAGTTACCTCCCGCAGCCACCACCGCCAGGCTCAGCGCGAGCCCTGCAGCCCTTGAGCTCGAGCCCCGGAGCCCCCGGCGACCGAACCGCAGCCACATCCCTGAGCCGCGCGCCCCGGAGCCCCGGCTGCGCGCCCCGCCGGGCCCGCGCCATGCCCTCCGACCGGCCTTTCAAGCAGCGGCGCAGCTTCGGTGAGGCCCTGGGGGCGAACTGCTATCAGGGACCGAGGGTTGGGGGTGCCAGCCGACCCCGATTGCCGCAGGTGACGTCAGCCCCATGACGTCAAGCAGATCGGCCGGACCCCGGGTGGGGAGGCCGCAAGGCCTGGCAGGGTCGCCCGCCTCCCGACCGCGTCCCCGGTCGAGGGCTGTGGGGCCGACGGCCCGGGGGGGCGGGCGCTGGGGCGGGGCGGGCCCGGAGCCGCCCCTCGGGGACGGCGAGGCGGAGTCGCGGGAGGCCTCAGCCCTGCTGGGCCTCAAGCCGAGTGTTGTCCGCAGCTGACCGCTGTAAGGAGGTGCAGCAGATCCGCGACCAGCACCCCAGCAAGATCCCGGTGAGTCTCTAGCCCCCCCGGCCACGCCCTGCCCTGCCAGGCCCCGCCCCTGACTTACGAGTCCCCCGCCCACTATCCTCCCAGGTGATCATCGAGCGCTACAAGGGTGAGAAGCAGCTGCCTGTCCTGGATAAGACCAAGTTTCTGGTCCCAGACCATGTTAACATGAGCGAGTTGGTCAAGATCATCCGGTGCGTTGGCAGCCTCCTGAAGGCCTTGGGTGGGGTCGGGGCCAGGTTCCACTCGGAAGGGGTGGAGTGGGGCAAGAGGACAGAATATAGGGCATTTAGCCCCTGTTCTAGGAGGCTGGAAAAGGTCAAGGTCGGGATTGGAGTGAATGTCTACATAGGTGTGAGCCTCTAGCCTGGTCTGTGGTGGACGAACAGTGAAGATTCAGTCATTTTGGGAGGGTCACCCAGGCCCCCAGCAGGCGGCCTCCTCACCTGCCATGCCCTCCTGCCTCTGCAGGCGCCGCCTGCAGCTCAACCCCACGCAGGCCTTCTTCCTGCTGGTGAACCAGCACAGCATGGTGAGCGTATCCACGCCCATCGCTGACATCTATGAACAGGAGAAGGATGAAGACGGATTCCTCTACATGGTCTATGCCTCCCAAGAAACCTTTGGCTTCTGAGTCAGGAGTAGGGGTGGGGGATGGTTGGGGATTCTGGTCAAGCTTTCTCCAGGGAGGTCCTGGCTCCTAAACTGAGCTGTTTCAGTCCCAAGTGGGTTAGGCAGAGATGTGAATCCCCTCCCCCTTCCCCAGGTAGGGGACACCAGCCAGCCTACCATGTCCTGGTGTAGGTCCTGCCAGGCGCGTTAGGGTTGCTCCTCTGGGTGCTGGCTCAGTTGGGAGTGGGTGGGGAGCAGCACCCCTGCTCTGTGTGGTTTGATTTTTTTTTTTAACCCCTTGCCTGTCTGCCCACCTGTCCCTCATCCACCTGAGGCATTTGCCTCCTGCCAGGACCTGCCCACCCCTGAAAGCTTGCCCCCCCTTGTCCTGACATGGTGTATGGATCTGTGGTCATTTCCTCAGCAGAATAAAGATTGCTTAGGCCTGCCTGGCCCTTTGCCTCCAGCTGCTTGTTTTGGGAGTAGGGAGGGCTGCTAGGTGACCATGTCCTCATACTTGTGTCAGTCAGGATACACGCTTGTGTTCTATGGACTTCAGTTTCCAAAAACTTACTCCTTAGTACAGGATACTCTGCCAAACTCACCCCACTCCAGGGTTAGATGGCACCAAAACAACAATGAAAAAACCCACACATTTATTTAGCCACAACCTATAAACCCTGCTCACCCGCAGCTTCCCCCTTTCTTCCTTCCTTCCTGTGCAGAGTCCCAAAGTGGGAGGTCCAACTGGGGTGATCCAAACTTCTCCCCATGGGCCTTGTGGCCAGCTATGAGTCCCCTTTGGTACCAGAGATTTGCAACCCTGGATTTGAACCTCTTCAGCCAGTGGACTTGCCTGCTGGCAACTCTGGATAAGGGACCTGGCCCAGCTTCTGACCCTTCCCCCTCTTGTCCATGCAGTTCTGTGCCAGCCAGGGCTACTTGAGCACAAGCATAGCCTCTGTGCCGTCCTTGGCAGTCAAATAGAGACCGTGTGTGAGGTAATACTCCCGTCGCAGGAAGGCATAGAAGTAGTCAGAGATGAGCAGGATCTGGCAGGGAAGAGAAAATGAGAAGCCATGGGGCACCTTAGTGAATAATGGCCTTTGTGGGGTTAGACAGGCAGTATGAAACAGTTCCTGCCTGGCATCTCTCATCAAAGCCCAACCTATAAGCAGGCCCAGGGACCTCCTTCCCTCTTGGCACATACTTAGCCCTGAAAGAGCTTACTGGTCCATCTGTCAGCTGCCTGTATTTTGCCTTCTGCTTCCTAACCCTGGTGCATGTACCTTGTCTCTTCCCACAGGCATTCCCCATCCAGCCTCCCTTTTCAAACCTCCCCTGTCCAGGGGCTCAGGACAGAATTGCCTACTGTTTCTCCTATACATACATCCCAGAAATCTACCTTGAAAATATACAATTTACCCATCCCTGTAACAACCCCCCACCAAAGTCACTGTTGTCATTTAAATAGTACCAAAACAGCTTCCCAGGAGTCCCTGCTTTCAAGCCTTCTCCTGTGCCAGGCAGGCAGAGGGAGCTTTCCAAACCACAAATCTGATCATGCTACTACTTGATGAGTTCTCCCAAAGGCTTCTTGTGCTTCATGGCCTTGCACCTGGTCCCTACATGTCACATCCCTTCCCTGTACTACCTCTCTAACCACAGGTCTTTGCTGTTTCCTCCGCCTGGAACATTTTCATCTGCCAATATGTACCTGCTCTTCAACTCTGTTGCAGACTCATTTAGTCCTCAGTTAGGTCCTAGCCCCTTAACCTCTCTGCTGACATAAACTGCTGCTTTTGCTAAGGATGGACCCTGCCTGAGTGCTCCCGCCACAGTGGCACTCACCTGCCACAGTTCAGTCTGACCACAAAATCCAAAGGGGCTGAGCATCTCAGTTCATTCTCGCCCTAAATAAAGCCTCAGCGCAGGACAGGATTTGTCTCGCTTGCACACTTGACCCCAAAATCTACAACTCTGTTTAGCCCAACATGCCCAAGACTGGAGTAACTGGAGCTGAATGGAAGTGGCCACCTCACCAAAGGCAGGTAGGCAGTCAGGTACACCACTGCAGACCCCACAGTTCTCAGAAGTTTACAGGCTCTCAGGGTACCAGCAGCAACCACCTCTTCGCTCAAATGGGGAGACAGGCCTAGAATGTGGCAGGCGTTCAGTGAGAGTCTTGGGACAGATCAGGGGTCCAGGTCTCCAGAGCCCTGTCCTGGCTCTGAAGGTAGAAAAGCAGCTAAGAAGTCCTTGGAGGGCCAACAGCATTGATACTCTACTGGACACATACCTGCTATTATCTTACTGGAAGGCTGACGATTTATTTTGCCAATAGAAAAATTGAAGCGTGAGGCATTCAATTAGTTGGACCAAGGGCATAGATCCGGACTATTGCACATGCATCCTCAAGTGTGTGATGTGCCACGGGCCCAGTTCACAAAAGAACATAGGGCTCTGTAGCATATCAGCAAGCAACCAGGCAGCCCTTGGCCGTCCTGGTCCTAGCAGCAGTTACTGAGCTTGAGCCCTTGGGGTTTTCCCACCCAGACCCCCTAGATGTTCTGTCTGGGAAAGGGAGACCCAGTGCCAGGGTAGGTGAGAGGCAATTGCAAATTCAGAATTCACAACTTGTCCCACAGTGATGAGCTGGCTAGGTCAAGGGAAGGCAGATGAAACGAGGTTATTAGGTTGCACCACATCTGGAAATAACACTTTTGTTTGTCTTTTGCAAGTTATTAATGTTGGCAACAGCTGGGTGGTGGTGGCTCACACCTTTAATCCCAGTACTCTCTTGGGAGGCAGAAGCAGATCTTTTTTGAGTTCAAGTCCAGCCTGATCTACAGAGCAAGTTCCAGTACATCCACCAGGCTATACAGAGAAACCCTGTCTCAACCAATAATATAATGTTGGCAATTTTATAGGATTCAATTAATGTAGGTGGGAAGAAATATACAAATATTAAACACACTCATTATTCAGAAGGACATGACCTGAAGAAATAACTGTAGGGCCTTAAGAGGAGCTATACTTTTTTGTTATTCATTCTCTTTTGGAAACAGGCTCTGCAGAGCTCAGAGTAGCTCAAACTTGGTATGTGGCAGAAGATGACCTTGAACGCAATCCTCTTGCTCCTACCTCTCAAGTGCTGGGATCACAGAGAAGCACCTCCTACCACAGGAGGAGCTCAAGAGCTATTCTTATAAACCTTAATTCTTTGCACCAAATTCATGTATTACTTGGATAAAAAATAAAAATTCAGGCTAGGCATGGTTGCACATACTTAATCCCAGCACTTGGAAGGGGAGGCTGGTGGATTAATAAAAGTATTTTGTTTTGTTTATTGAAAAGGTCTGTGTAGCCCTCCCTGTCCTGGAACTCTATGTGGTCTAGGCTGGCCTCAAATTCACAGAGAGAACCCTGCCTCTGAGTGCTGGGATTAAAGGCATTATACCTGGCTGATAACTGCAAGTTCCAGGTCAGCGTGGGCTAGAGTGAGACTATGTTTCAAAACAACCCCAAAACTAAATGTGACATACATTTAGCGTTAGTTTGACATAACATGACTGGCACATTCTGACTGGATAATGAAAAGGGAGCTTGTCCTGGGGATTCTTTCTCCTTTTTACAGTTTTTAAATTTTTTTCCCATTATGTTTATTTTACCCTACATTTTTGCCTGCATGCATGTAACTACACCATATTTGTGTCTATTGGGGTTGTAGAAGGTTGTAAGTCACCATGTGGGATACTGGAAGTTAAACTCAGGTTGTCTGCAAGAGCAACAAATGTTCTTAACTGCTGAACCATCTCTAGCCCCTGGGGATTCTTTAAAAACAAATAAAGAAAAAGAACAAGTCTCAGTCTGATGACAAACATCAAGACGAGTCTAATTTAAGGGACCTGCCCAGTGTCCCTTAAGCCTGTCAAGGTCATGAAAAGTAAAGACAAGAGATGCAGAGCAGAGGACACTAAGGAGACACAGCCAAGTATAACATGGTCTAGGTTGGTCCTGGAAGAACCATTACCATTCAGTTAATGGTAATGTACCAGGGTGGGTTCTTAGCTTAACAGAGGTTCTGTATAAGATGTTCCCAACACAGAATAACAATGGAAAACACAGGACTTCTCTCTACTATCTCTGCAGCCTTCTATGGTTCCAAGACAATTCCACAATAAAAGGTTTATCTAGAGAAAACAAACAAAAAAAAAGTGCTCTTATTTTTCTGTTGGGGTTTTGTTTGTTTGTTTAGAGGTTTTGGGTTTTGGTTTTGGTTTGAGACAGGGTCTCTGTACATAGCCCTAGTTGTCCTGGAACTCTCTATGTAGACCAGGCTAGCCTCAACTCAGAGAGATCTTCCAGCCTCTGTCTCTGGACTGGTGGGAGTGAAGGTGTGCACCCTTTCACCTAACTTGTTTTGTTTTGAAACAGGGTCTCTTGAAACCCATTCTGGCCTTGAACTATGTAGCAGAGAATCCCCTTGAACTTCTGAACCCACTTCTACCTCCCGAATGCAGAGCTTACAAGTATGTGCCACTATGGTTTTATGTGGCAAGAGGGATTGAATCCAAGGCTTTCTGCATGCTAAGCAAACACTCTGTAAGAGCTATATTCCCACCAGGTAGGTAGTGGTGGTACACGTCTTTAATCCCAGCACTGGAGGCAAAGGCAAGGGGATCTCTGTTCTCTGTGAGTTCAAGAAGGCCAGCCTAGTTTACAGAACAAGTTTTAGGACAGCCAGGAGTGTTACACAGAGAAACCATGTCTTTTTTTTTTTTTTTTTTTTTTTTTTTTTTTAAAAGCCATATTCTTAGTCTGTTTGTTTGAGATAAGGTCTCAATAGGGCAAGCTGGTCTGGAATTTACTATATAGCCAGCAAGAAGGTAGAATCAGGAGGTTGGAGTTCAAGGTCATCCTTGGTATCAAAGTAAAGTTTAGACCAACCTGGTCTTTGTGGACTGTTGTAAGAACACAATGAACCTCAGAAACATTGTGGTGGGCAAGACACGGTGAAGAATACCTATAATTCCAGCACTCAGGAGACATAGACAGAAGGATCCTTTAAAATTCAAGGCCAGCTTAGTCTAGGCTACCAAGGGATAGGTAAACTTGGTTTCAAAACAAAAATGGTAAAAGGTGGCTTTGACAAATACACGTGTAAGACCCTAATTAACTATATTAGCAGGAAATATACTGATGTTTGCCTTTCAAATTGAAATAAATTTAAAAACAGTCCAGGAGGAGCTGGTGAGATGGCTGAGAAGGTTAAGGCATCTCCTGTCAAGCCTGATGGCTTGAGTTAACCCCAGAACCCACATGATGGCAGGAGAGAAGTGACTCCCGAAAGTTGTCCTCTGACAACATGCAAACTGTGGCACGTGCATGATCCACCTCCACAAGCTCAAAATAAATGTTAAAACAAAACAAAAAACAACAACAACAAACAAACAACAAAAAAAACTGGTCATGTTGTTAAAGCATCTCGGAGGAGTCTGCATAAGACCCTAATCAAAAAAAAAAAAAAAAAAAAAAAAAAAAAAAAACCCAAAACAGTAAGGAAAAAGCCCCAAATAGCAATGAAAGAAAAGATGGCTTACAGGATGTATTCTGCAACCAAGCAAGTACTGCAGAATGTTACTGATAGGGTTTTTGTAGTGGGTATATGAGTGTTCAATGTATCAATATTTACATAATAGAAGTGTAGAAAAGGGCTATGGTCATTTGGACACACAATCTTGAGTGTACTCTGGTTTGCACAGAATCCATGGCTACAGGGAAAGGATGGAATGCTAGCCTGGAACTTGGCTCTTTCAGAGGGAAGCCTGGGCCTGGGACTTTCCATTAAGACTGTGAGGAGAAGGGATTTCCCAGAGGTCCTAGGAATCAAGCTGCCCAACAGCTGCAAACCCACAGCCCCTTTGCTTATTCTGAGCAGTGGAAAGTTGAGCAGGAGGTAACAAAAGCATGGACACGTTAGTAACTGACTTCCTGTTCCTTAAATTTCATTTTCCTCATGTATAAACCAAGAGCAATCAGTTCTAGTTTA